AGGTCATGTTTTTCTTGTTTTATAAAACAAAACAGCGCGCGATAGAAGTAGCCGTCGACGCGAGAAAACCAGTTCTCAGTTGACGCGGCTTTCCTCTTTCTCCAAAATATTCGTCACGTAATTACCGATCAGCTTGTGAGCATAACTATGAACCCTCCATCGGGGGTGTAGCTCAGATGGTAGAGCGCTCGCTTAGCATGCGAGAGGTACTGGGATCGATACCAGCACCTCCAGTCCTTTTTTTTATTCATTGCTTTGGCAGGTCATGTTTTGCTTGATTTATAAAACAAAACAGCGCGCGATACAAGCAGCCGTCGACGCGAGAAAACCAGTTCTCAGTTGACGCGGCTTTCCTCTTTCTCCAAAATATTCGTCACGTAATTACCGATCAGCTTGTGAGCATAACTATGGACCCTCCATCGGGGTGTAGCTCAGATGGTAGAGCGCTCGCTTAGCATGCGAGAGGTACTGGGATCGATACCCAGCACCTCCAGTCCTTTTTTTTATCATTGCTTTGGCAGGTCATGTTTTGCTTGATTTATAAAACAAACAGCGCGCGATACAAGCAGCCGTCGACGCGAGAAAACCAGTTCTCAGTTGACGCGGCTTTCCTCTTTCTCCAAAATATTCGTCGCGTAATTACCGATCAGCTTGTGAACATAACTATGGACTCTCCATCGGTGGTGTAGCTCAGATGGTAGGAGCGCTCGCTTAGCATGCGAGAGGTACGCGGATCGATATACCAACACCTCCAGTCCTTTTTTTTATTATTGCCTTTGGCAGGCATGTTTTTGCTTGATTATAAATACAAAACAGCGCGCGATACAAGCAGCGTCGACGCGAGAAAAACCAGTTCTCAGTTGACGCGGCTTTCCTCTTTCTCCAAAATATTCGTCGCGTAATTACCGAGCAGCTTGTGAACATAACTATAGACCCTCCATCGGGGGTGTAGCTCAGATGGTAGGGCGCTCGCTTAGCATGCGAGAGGAGAGGTAACGCGGATCGATACCAAGCACCTCCGTCCCTTTTTTTTATTCAATTGCCTTGGCAGGTCATGTTTTGCTTGATTTATAAAACAAAACAGCGCGCGATACAAGCAGCCGTCGACGCGAGAAAACCAGTTCTCAGTTGACGCGGCTTTCCTCTTTCTCCAAAATATTCGTCACGTAATTACCGATCAGCTTGTGAGCATAACTATGGACTCTCCATCGGGGGTGTAGCTCAGATGGTAGAGCGCTCGCTTAGCATGCGAGAGGTACTGGGATCGATACCCAGCACCTCCAGTCCTTTGTTTTTATTCATTGCTTTGGCAGGTCATGTTTCGCTTGTTTATAAAACAAAACAGCGCGCGATACAAGCAGCCGTCGACGCGAGAAAACCAGTTCTCAGTTGACGCGGCTTTGCTCTTTCTCTAAAATATTCGTCACGTAATTACCGATCAGCTTGTGAGCATAACTATGGACTCTCCATCGGGGGTGTAGCTCAGATGAGTAGAGCGCTCGCTTAGCATGCGAGAGGTACTGGGATCGATACCCAGCACCTCCAGTCCTTTTTTATTCATTGCTTTGGCAGGTCATGTTTTGCTTGTTTTATAAACAAACAGACGCGCCGATACAAGCAGCCGTCGACGCGAGGAAAACCAGTTCCTAGTTGACGCGGCTTTCATCTTTCTCCAAATATTCGTCACGTAATTACGCGATGCAGTTGTGAGCATAACCTAATGGGACCTCTCCATCGGGGGTGTGCCTCAGATGGTAGAAGCGCTCGCTTAGCATGCGAGAGGTACTGGCTGATCGATACGCAAGCACCTCCAGTCTTTTTTTTATTAAGTGCTTTGGCAGGTCATGTTTTGCTTGTTTTATAAAGAAAAACAGCGAGCTACGCTACAAGCAGCCGTCGACGCGAGAAAACAGTTCTCAGTTGAACGCGGCTTCCTCTTTCTCAAAATATTCGTCACGTAATTACCGATCAGCTTGTGAGCATAACTACGTGACTCATTCAATCGGGGGTGTAGCTCTGATGGGGATAAGAGCGCGCGCTTAAGGCATGCGAGAGGTACTGGGATCGATAACCCCAGCAACTCCAGTCCTTTTTTTTATTCATTGCTTTGGCAGGTCATGTTTTGCTTGA